TCCGGCCTCTCCGTACGCCTATGGGATCTCCTCAGCTCTGGCAGCGGCCAGTGGACACTCAGCAGCCTGGCTCTCCAAGCAGCAGCAGCAGCCGCCACAGCAACACCATGGCTCCCCTCTGAGCTCAGATCCCTCCAAAGCCCAGATTAAGAGTGAGGCCGGAGGTGCTGCGGGTCACTTTGTGGAAGCAGCTTCAGCAGGTTCCCACGTCACTTACACCCCCCTCAGCCTTCCTCACTACAGCTCTGCCTTCCCCTCGTTGGCCTCAAGAGCTCAGTTTGCAGAATACGCCGACCACCAGGGCTCGGGGTCATACTACGCCCATTCGAGCCAGGCTCCGGGGTTGTACTCCGCCTTTTCTTACATGGGGCCTTCCCAGAGGCCTTTGTACACTGCCATCACTGACTCAGCCAGCGTATCGCAGTCGCACAGCCCCACACACTGGGAACAGCCTGTCTACACAACGCTGTCGCGGCCATGACAGATAACGAGACCAGAGCGTGCCGGTGCAGGTTCAGCCCCAACGTCAGACCAGAGGAGCAGAGACAGCAGCAGCAGCAAGAGTCGCGCTGGTGGTGTCAGAGTCGAACGAGATCTGGTCTGGGGGGAGTGGGCAGGCACTGGGGGATGCGTCTGGGGAGGCAGAAGGGGGGAAACACCATTCTGCTCTTGCCCAGATGAAAACATGCTGTCACAGCCTGAGGATGCGCTTGGAGCGTGGTGCTTTTGAGGAGCGGTCGATCATTTGCGGCACTCGGTGGAGGAGTCAGAGTTCAATACATCGATAATGCAAATAAGTAAAATAAAATAAAAATCACCCACCCAACGCCACCAGCAGCACCACAGCAAAGCCTTTGGCACTTCTGGCTGTGTTCATGGGTGGTATGAGATCACGTACTTGTCATCGTGTATCGCAGCAGTCCACAACGCCACGGGCAAACGGAGGGGTCAGAGGTGACAGGGACACAGCGAGAAAAAAGCAAGACTTCGATCTGTGAGCGCGACAAAGGAGACAAATTCATTTTACCCGAGATGTTTGTTTTAACGCCAGGAGAACGGAGTGCCAAACTATTTGCCGGCCTTTCACTTCTCAGGCTTGACTGACCTTTTGTCAAACAAACGTTAGCCTTGTATTCCTTTCGAAAGTCAACACAACAAATACTCACGACATACTGTCCTCTCAGAGCCACAGTCGTCCCTTTTTGAATTCAATTTGTTTATGCTGTGTTCACTTAAAATGCCTTTGTACACTCGACAAATGGGCACGGAGGGGAAAAAATGCCATAAATCCATGCTGTGCTTTTGTTAACTGAAGTGTATATTTAGCTTATTGGGTGTACTTGAAGTTGCAAATGTACTTATGTCGATACACACAAACATGACCAAAGTTTTGAGACCAAAACCTGTACTTTTTATAAAGAAGAAACTGTTCTTTTAAAAGAAAGTTTCTCCCAACATAACATTCAAAGCTACCTTACATTTTGTGGCCAATTAGTGTTTTGTTTTTTTGTTTTTTTTTCTTAGCTTTGACTCAATTCAAAATGCAATCGTGTCAAAAACTTCCTTTAAGTTTGTAGCACAAAGGCACTGACTCACGATGAAAGGCAGTTCTATTCATCTGCTGATAATCCATTATCACTCAGTGTTTCATGACAAAATCCTTAACAGAAACGTACTTGTTGTTTTAACAACGTGCTGTGTTTACTGTACTGTTTAAAATGACTTTTTGCCATTGTTATCCACTGAAGGTCTACAGCACTGCCTTTGTCTGTTGTTTTTTTTTGGTTGAGTGTGAGACAAAATGATCTTTTGATTATAGTTTAAAAAGTTACATTGTAAATAATGCCAACACTGAGAAACAATTTCCAGGCACTGAATGTTTTAACGCAGCCTGATGTCAAATAGAAAATGTGCCTTGTCCTAATTATGACTTTACTACTAACAGCTTTTGTATCAGTACTTACCTTTTGATGATTACTTACCATCTTTATTTACACGTTATACCTGTTATTTCTCTTCCCTACATCCCGCATTCTTCTTCACTGCTTCTCAAATATATCTGCATTTTAAATATCTTAACCTATATCTGCAAAAGAGCTAAACTGAATTTCTTTGTTTTATACGTAATGTATATCGGTACTGCACACATGTGGACCATATGCATGCACCACAGCTCAGGCAGAGCTCAAAGTCAGTTTTACTTTAACCAATTACCTCCAGCATAAGAGTTAAGCTTACATTCTCATTGCTACTATATATGTGTGTGTGAGATATGGGTAATGTTTTTAATTCCACATTTATTTATGATTTGGTTTCATGTTTGCGTGCACATCCTTTCTCTCAATTTCTCATTTGAGCATTTCACATTTCTTGTGTAACTGCGTCTGAATAACAGCAGGTGTGAAAGCCTGAACACGATGATGATGATGATGACTTTGTATTCTGACGTGAAATAAAGCTTTGTTATTTCTGCTTGAATACAAGCTTGCCTCTTGAAAAGTCATAAATACTACAAATGATGAAAAAAGGTTCCTTTTGGTTGTGAAGACCACAAAAACTCTTCTCTTCTGGCTACAAACTGCAGTGGAAAAAAAACAAACAAAAGCTCACGTCTTTGGGGCATCTAATGACTCAGCCCATGCTGCTCACATTCCCAACATAATCTCTTCAGCTACTGGATAATTCACTTTGGCTGGCTGATGCTCAATCTGGCCACTGGTAGAGGTAAGCTGGACACGGCTGATAGTGACGTGCATGTGGAGGGCGATGAATGAGACTGTGATGCAGCTACCTTCCTTTACATAAACTTAAAGTAATGCAGCCTCGGGGGGCAGGGTTGGTTATGCATGCATATTTCAGGTTCCTTATATTGTGTGTGTATGTGTGTGCGTGTTGTGGGTTAAGCCTGACTTTTAATTCCCTCTTTTTAATCGGCTGTGTGATACTTTGCAAAGACAAAGAGGGCCATTGAAAGGGATCTAGGGGGAGGAGGGAAACATGGGCAATGAGGGAGCGTACCCATAACTGCCTGGCCTGCCGCTTCAGCAGGATACAAAGGGACTCCTACACTCCATGCAGAGACCCAGCAACCCTCGCTATCTAAGCGTCCCCAACACTCACCCCATCCTAGTACAAAAAAAAAAATCAGATAGAAGCTGAAATGGGATTCAAATAATGAAAAGGAGAAGATATAGACAGAGTTATGGGATTTTGTGTCAAATGAATGTCAAAGCAGGTGTCAGACAGGTGACTGTTGAGATACTGCTCAAAAGGCTTCATTTGATTCTCGCAGGCAATGAAACGTTAGCTGAGCACATTCTGTTCATAATCTCCTTCGCCTGAGATGTGAAAGGAGGTGGCACGGTCCGCTCTGATGATCCATGAAAAAATAGAACAAAGGCTCTGTGCTGATACGACCAAACTGACAAACGCAAATGAAGAATCAGAGGAGAAACTCCAGAGTGCAGTAATAGATCAGCCTGTGATAATCCAATCTACTGATCAAGTATAAAAGAAATCAATTATAGAGAATCAAATGAAAGTTTGGGAGGGTGCAACAGGTGAAAGAAAGAGAGATGAGACTCAGTTGTGTTGCAGCTATGAGATGACCACTGCTGATCAAAGGAAGTAAAATGCAGTTCAATTTGTTAGTACAGGGTTGGACCTTCCTGAGATGTTCCTCTGAGATTCTGGTCCATGTTGACATGACAGCATCACACAGCTGCGGCAGATGTGTCAGCTGCACATCCATAATGTGAATCTCCTGTTTCACCACATCCAAACGAAGCTATACTGGATGGTGATCTGTTGACTGAGGAGGCCATTTAAGTACATATTTAACATGAAATTTCCCACTCGTGGGACTAATAAAGGTATCTTATAAACTCAGAAACCATCAAGATGATTTGAGCTTTTTGACATGGTATATTATCCTGTCATGATAACATGTCCAATCCTTTTATCTCCATCCACAAAGGAAAGGAAATGTTCAGCAACACTACTCAGGTAGGCTTAGTGCTCAAACGGGCCTAAAAGCTGCAAAGAAAATAACCACCATGCGATTACATCACCTTTTTTAAATGTTCTTTTTATATTTTTTTTATTATATCAAATTCTGATCATCCAATCAGAATATCACAGGAGAAATCAGGAAACACTTTTTTATGAGCTGTGCAAATTGTAGCCTCAGTTTTCTTTTCTAAGTTGAGACTAGTGGCACAGGTGTGGTCTTCTGGTGTGCATTCAGACTTTAGTTGGTTAAGTGTTTTTTTAGCTTTTGCCACATTCCTCTCAGCTTGCCTCTCACCTCTGGCCATTCTCCTCTGTATCCCCTAGAGATGGGTGCGTGGGAAAATCCCAGCAGATCAACAGTTTCTGAAATACTCAGACCAGCCTGCCTAACGCCAACAACCACGCCTCACTCAAAGTCACTTACATCACCTTTCGTCCTCATTCTGAAGCTGAGTTTGAACTCCAGCAGGTCATCTTCACCACATCTGCATGCCTGAATGCAATGAGTTGCTGCCATGTGATTGGCTGATTCAATATTTGTGATAATGAGCAGGTGAACAAGTGTACCTAATACAGTGGCCAGTCAGCGTATATCTAGGAAAGCAATAAGAGAAGTCATGTTGTAAAGGACTGAAAAACAAATCAGACAAATGACAAACAAATCAAGTAGGAGGTGGAAGTTCCTGATCCAGCGAAGGTCTCGGGAGATTGTAGTCATTCCCTCTGCTGGAGGCGACCTGATATTGGCCTCCCTGTGTTGGTGCTGGTGAGCATCACGAGCCACCCTCTCCAGCCCATGAAAGAAGCGCAGCATCACCCCGAGGCGCCGTCTCCTCCAATCAAAAGACTCATAGATTAAAGCAGTTTTTCACACATTTTACACATAATTACTAATACCAGCGCCAACTGGCTCCTGCCTGCTGATGCTCAGAGGTCACAGTGACCGACACGCCTTTGCTTTAAGTCGACTACAGAAGAAAAAAGACGAGTTTCTTCATCAGTTTTATTACCAGCTGCATTTTTTTTTCCCTTTCAAATCAGTTCTGTCTTTACATACATGTCACGGAGCTCCCACAAACACACACACAAGCAACATATAATCCGCTCGCCTATTTACTAGAGTATCATCACACACTGCCTCCTACATGAAATCCTTTAATCTGTTTTCTCACAAACTTTCTCTCTGTCTTCCCGCATTCACTCGCCGTCTCTCTGCCCGGGCAACAACCCATTTCTCCTAAAACAATACACTGACTGTTTGGCTGCTTTGTGTTTATGGAGTGGGGCGGGGGGAGCCACACACACCATGCATCATGACTGTGACAATACTTCTCCGTGTAAACATCAACACCCACTGTCGGAAGTGAGGATTCTTACTGTTATCTATCGATCTACTACAGTAATGTGTGCATTTAGTGCTTGTTGCAGTAGGATTCCTAAGTCTTTATGACTTATGAACCCAGAGAGTGTAACTTCACCCTCATTGTAAACCTCTGTTTACATTTCATAGTGTAAGTAACATAAATCAAACTCTTTATACAAAAATCTTTATTTATAACAATAAAACTGTAATTTCACTACAATCACCTCTTTTCAAAAACACAAATACTTCATAATACAGGATTCCTTTATAAAACTTAAGTGTTTGACTGAGATATATCTCCCCCTTGTGGCTCTTAGAAGCATTGCAGCCGCTAAAACAATTGAGTTCAGTGGGTACCAGATAAAAGAAAGACGAAAAAATGAGCTGGGTTGTGATGAACACTAAACAAATAGTTAGAGGGGAAAACAATAAGTAAGTTCACAGGATTATGAACTATAAACAGCATACTAATTTGTTTTGCATTATTTTGAGTCTTTAAGTAGTCTTATGCAGTACACCTCATGTTTACAGTCACTGGAGAATTACAGCGACTGGATCTGGGAGTGGGCGTGAAGGAGACTCCTCCACTGGGTTTGTGTAGCTGTAAAACCAGTTAGGGTGGTGGCTGTGAAGCAGCTTAGGCTGATCTGTCAGCGTAGACTGCTTCATAAGATGTTTAATCAGTTATGATGAGCTCGTCGCAACCCCAGTCCTCGTAACTCCCATCGGGAAGGTACCTGCGGATGATGATGGGGATCTTTCTGCTCCTGTCAGTGAGGACAAAAAGACAGAGATACTGTTACAGTCACCTGCTCTTTAAATAATGTCACTCACACATGAAAAAGAGAAATGACAAAAAGTCATCAAAGAAAATTATGGCTTACTTTAGTTCTTTCATAGCTATCTGCAGCGGGTCTGTTTCTCCCTCCAGCTCCACCATAACTGGAGCACACATCCTGTTGGAGACAAGTCAGCAGGTAAACCACATCAGTACAGTGTTAGAGCCTTTTTTCAATGTTCAGTCTACAAACACCATGTTTTCTTCTTTTAGATAATTGAGGGTTAGTATTTAAGGAAGTCTGGATTAATCACTGACAGGTGGAAGTGCCTTAAGAGGAAGCAAGTAATTTTTGATTGTGCTTTACTTTGTGCCGCAGAGTTTCCTTTCTCTTTTTCAAAAATTGAAATGGTTTGTAGAAGGTAAATGAGAGGCATATACTACAAATTAAGTTCAACATAGCTAGGTTTCCCTGCACTATCTGGCTTGACAAAACCTAAAACCCCAGTCAAAGATGACAGGTGTCATCACAGAACTGTTTTTGTTAACTCAGGCTCTTTGTGTGCTCACATATAAGAAAGGGGGCGTCTGACACGATGTTTGACTCTCCTTTAGCGCAGAATGGGTCGAGTGAGCATTAGAGACATTTTTAAGTTCTACAGGTAGCATTTACAAAACATCTCACTTCAGCAGAGAATCTATATCACATTTACAGGCTACTGGAAATAAAAATAAAAAAAAAATCAGTAAAGATGTGGCACTTCTGAATGATTTTAAACTAAAACTTTAACCACAACATGTTGCTGACCAGGTTGTGTATTTAGCATAAGTTACTGTGGTGATCTGGCCAGGTCAAAGGAAAGCCATCTTTGTGACACTGAAAACGCTGGCTTTAGCCTCGTCTTACCTTGCTAACCCATTAATCTCACTAAGGTTAAGATCAGAAGGTGCTCACGTGAATCCAACTATCATCTGTAAAACATGAACTCTAATCACAGGTAAACTGATATTTCTGGTGCTAAATAATTTTATATTAACATGACATTAAGTGCACCAGCTTCACTCAATTATTCATAGTCCTTACCTTTGCTCCTACAAAAGACAAAGTAACACAATGTACTATACCAGAAAGTCAGATGCACTCAAATACTGCAGTACTCTTTTACATTACCTTTCAGCATAGTTCTATATTCAATGACAAAACTTGACAAAAGGACCAAAGAAGTGTGGACGAATATTTTCAACATCTCACTCTCACCGACTGTGGTGCCTTACGACCCACTCTGACAGTTATGAAATGCTTTGCTCTCATAAACACAAAAGTGGAAACTCCTATGTCAGGTTTTCTTGAATATCGGCAGACTGGTGTGGGAAACATAACCTCTGTATCAGTTGGACGTGGAACGTCAACACCTCCAGCATGATTAACCTTAAACCTAACCGTGAAGCCGTAAATGACAATGAAGAAACACTCACGCTATCTGGAGGGCTCGTGTCCCCAGCACTCTGGCCCTCTCGTATTTGGTCATGTACGGAGTTGTGATCCTCTTCTGGTTTGCCTGCTGGCCCTCTCCCGCGGGCAGGATCTGCACGTTCTCCTGGTCATCCTATTCACCAGAAAACAACCGACAATAAACATGATACAAAGGCAGCGATCAGTAGTGCTAAAATAAAACTGACGACAAACAACAAAAGCAAAGCAGTGTCTGTGCTGTCCAGTTAAGAGAATCATCAACTTACGTCTTCCGCGTTTTCGAGATCATCTAATCCCTCATCCTCCTCGGCATCATCAAAATCTCCATCATCGAAGCTGCAAATTTGACACAAAGTTTTGTTTTTAAAAGACAATAAATAGATTCTAAAGACAGCAAATTGTCAATAAGTTTATACAGAGCACTTAGCAGTGTGGCTAAACGCGTTAGCTACAATGCTAGTTCGCGCCGAGTTATAATAAAGAAACAAGCATTTTAATATGAATTTCATCAAAGTGTCATCATTACTTACTTATCTTCGTTGTCGGACATGTTTTAACCTAAAATTTACGTAAAATATTACTCAAACCGTAGAAGAAAGTCAACACACTTTGTTGTTAACACGGACCCACATGAATGCTACGAAGCTTAAACTTCCGGTGGTTTGGTGCGCTGGAAAATATTCCGGATGAAAAACAGGAAAAGGAACTTTCTTTCCACTTGTACTCCAGTACAATTACATTTATTTATTGTTTTTAAATCCCCAAAAAACAAACAACAAAAAAAGTTGATTGTTGTAATTTAAATAAATAAATAAAATTCGCCATTTGTCGTACGAGCGGTATTTCTGTCTTTTTCTCTCTTTATTTTTTGCAGTCCTGTCAATGAGCCTGTAGCTTTTTATGACCCTTAATTTTACTGCGAAATAAAATACAACAGTATTAATACAGGAAAACATTCTTTTTGTTTGAAACTATGAGAAACAGATAATTTTCTTTGTTAACATAAATGCAGCTGCTGTCGTTCAGCACCACTGAACGACACAGGAAATCTTTCCTGCCTGTGGCCATCTCCCTGTACAACGCATCCACTTAACACACTGGTTACTGCTACAACTACACGTTTCTTTTCCAGCTATTTATTTATGAGTGACTTATGTATGTATATATTGTACTATTCTTAGTTAGCATATTGTCTATCTTGTCTTAATGTTGGTTTATGTTTATGTTGGTTTATAATGGAGCACAACAAAAAATAATTTCCCCCAGGGATCAATAAAGTATTCTGATTCTGATTAAATGCAATTTAACCTGGGTTTCGTTTAGACTTGACAGCCAACACGTTTTTCTCCCTTTTTCATTAATTTTCAGACGTCAAACAAACTTTCAGAATAAGATCTACTAGAACCACAAATTAAGACTCATATTTTGAGTCACCAAGTATTTTCAGCCTCTGCTCTTTATTATTTTCCTTTTACTTAAAATCATAGTGAAGAAAAAAAAAACACTGCAAAATTGAGAATGAACATAATCCTACATTACTGGTGTGTTAACAGGTACATTGTGCATGTATATTAAATATTTTTTGTCTGTTGTTTTGAATTCAAATGCACTACAGACAGTACTTAACACATGAGATTTATTGCACACTTAAAAAAAACCCACGAGTATGTGATCATACAATACCATAAAAAATAAGATGATGATAATTTTTAGAGTGAAAAAACACATTAATAATAATGCATATATCGTGCCAACTGAGAACAATACAAATTGTTTGGTGATGTTACTGAGATGGGCTTTAACACATAATTAGTAAGCATGTACTTAATAAGTGCATATTTCATACTGTTCACACATGAACAATGAGAGCTTCTGACACTTCTTCAACTCTTTTTATCCACAGAGTTCTTCGTGCTTTCTTCTTTGTGGTTCAGGATTTTTAGTACTTTTGTAGGCTTGAAATCTTTTTTGGGCTTCCTTAGCTCTTTTAATCCTTCTTTCTGGAAGTCTGAGAAGAGACGAAAGAGCAGCAAAACAAACATTAAGCAGTAAGCAAACATTGACATAGAGCATTATTTGTGATCCAACGAATCAATTTCTTTCTGCCTTCGTCATACAGGCAAAACAGAAGATACAAAACAGTACCAAAGAGCTTTTATTAGAAGGCTCGTTATCTTACCTTTGTTCATTACATCTTCCCAAAGCACGTTATTTTCTCTCTCCCTAATCAGAAAAACAAAGTTGCACTCAGATAAAATGTACAAATGCAAAAGCATAATTGATTTTTTTTCCTTAAGTACCTCTGTCTGTCCTGATCCAGGCAGCTGATGATGTGGTTCCTCTGTTCAATGATGGTGACCAGCTCATCCATCAGCTTCTTCTCTTTATCTCGATCCTCCTGACTCCAGTTCTTGTCTGTGTGTGCAGATGATGACAATGAAAGTTCAACACAATGAGATTTCATTTAACAAATCAGCGATCTCCATTGGATTCCACTGATAGGATAGCAACAATATTCGTATAGAAACATTAATTCATTTCAGTGCCTTTTAAGAGTCAACTCAGAGCCTTCTTGTAGTGTTTCTTGTTCTTGTTGCACCATTTAGAATCAAAAAGCATGTCAGGATCCAGTGTTACTTACCAGTCTGTGAATGGCAAAAGTATGTGACCCTCTAAGATTAACTGGTAATTCAAATATGTGATTAGAAACAAGTGTTTTCAGTGACAGACGTAACAGTCAAGTGTGAGCTGGTGTTTCTGTTTCTCATCAGGCTTGAAAAGTTCACAAAACCATCTCTAAACTGTTTGGACTTCCACCAGTCTAGACTTACAGTAGCGAGTTTTCAAATGGAGGAAATGCTGGAGCATTGTTACCCTCCACAGCAGTGGGTGTGTTGTAGCGCGGGAGGTCACAGAGGAACAAAGGTTAGTGAAATCTCAGACTCTGTTCCCTCACAGTGGCCAAAACTAGATCACTTTCCCAAACCAATAAATGACCAAGTCTATTACTATGTCACGTTTGTTTAACTGGGTCTTCTTTCCTTCTTTTAGGATCATCATCTAGTCTTCTTTCCAGCTGCTCCCTTTAGCACCGCAGTGTCTCATCTGCCTCATTAACACTCATTTCTTCCTTCACTACACCCATGAATTTTGTCTGTGGTCTTCTTCTTAGACCATCAGTCTTTGTCCTCTCTGTGGAAAAACAAAGTGCTCCTCAACACCACAAAAACTAAGGAAATAATGGACTTCTGGAGAAACAGACCCTTAGCCTATCACATCAGCAGGGACTGTGTAGTGACTGAAGTTTCTGCGCCTGCATCTGGATGATGATTTAACCTGGAAAACCTACACAACTGTGCTGATCAAGACGGCACAGTGGCGACTTCACTCCCTGAGGTTTCCTGAAAAACAATTCCCTAGCCAAGGAGCTTAAAGTGTACAGGCGGAACTGTTTCCTGGTGTGGTTTGCAAGCTGCGCTGCTCAGGAAACACTCCAGAGGGTCATCAGCGCAGCACGGAAAATCACCGGCTGTGCTCCTCTCTCTAGGACCTCTACAGGTCCTGGTGCCACAGTAAAGCCCACAGTATCCTGATGGGCACATCACACATCCTGGCTGTTACCCTCAGGGAGGCGGTGCAGTTGGAACAAGGCAAACAGACTTGAAAAACAGCACATCTCCCAGAACTAATAAATGAACACTGAAGAGTTTGCCTCCTTTCACTAACCCGTGCAACCAGTATTCACAGCTGTGAACAACAGTGCAATAATAATGACACACACAGACATACATACACATTCAAATACACACTGATTGAGATAGTTAGATTGCCTTCTGTGCACTAAATAGGACTGCATACAATTTCACTGTACTTTTCTTACATGATCATAAAGATTCTACACGTCTAAACCCTCTAACTATATCTCTGAACCGTGTCGCAGCAGGTCTCGGCTTGTAAACATTCCTTTTCACCCTTTCAGCCATGCTGTCACAAATCACCCCTGACACGCAAAAGTCTGATGGCAGTTATGTCAACTTTCTGCTAAAGACCTTTCATCACGCCTACAGAACCTTGGATAAAAGAATATTGATCCCTGAATTATTTACAGATCAGTAATTCCCGTTAATGTCAAATACAGTGGGTGATAAAAGTGACTGAACAATGCACAGAGCTACATACTAACCCGGTTTATTAAAGAGACACCGGAGGTCGTACTCCACGTCGGTCTGCCTGTCCTCCAGCTTTTTCTGCTTTGTCCTGAGAAATAAAAATTACACATGTGTTTACGATGCTCAGAAAACACGGAAAAAAAGAAAAGCCGCACAAGTGAAAAAACGCTTACAGATGAACCAGCTCCGTGTCGTGGCACATCAGAACATGCCGCTCGTGGATAAGACAGAACCACTCCATTAGCATTTGTTCCTCCTGTTTATCTGAAATAAAAAAGCAGGAAGTGTCAATGTAATGGTATTTACACAAAGCGGCTTCACAATATTGAGAATTTTGTGCCAATAAATTATTTTATTTAGTACGAACCATTTTTGCAGCCTCTCAGGTTCCTCTCCAGTTCCACTCCTTTTCCCTCCAGTGTCTCCAGATGTTGATCCACTTCTCTCATCTGCACCTGCAGCTCTTCTGGGGAAGTGCACTGATCTGTCTGCACCTGTCAAGCAACAAATATCACCAAAACTGAAGACTTCAAAATAGAAATAATTTCTTAAATAAATCACACACCAAAAAAAGTGACTAAACCTTGTTATTCTGGGTAAACTACTCAGTTTGCTCAAAACGTCTCATCTTAATGATGAGTCTGCATCTACATGACACAAAGGCACATCTAGAAATGACTCAGAATTAGATTTTGTGGCCTTTGAGTTTGTTTTAAATCCAGCTGTTGTACCTTTCTCTTGATGAGTGGGAATCCATGGCCAGGTGCGGGGCCCCGACAAGGCGAGAGGTCCTGAACGGTATTTGATTTGGATAATGTGGGTCTTTGAGCCTTAGGATCATTTTCACAGGAAGGCTGAAAATAAAAAAATATATATAATATGGAAAACTGTAAGAAACGCCATATGAGACTGTCCTCTGGTAGAACGTGAAACGCGCATTAATGTTTGGCCTTTATTGGTTAACTCTGATCTCTTGTCGTACCTTACTTCGCCACGATGTGGCAGCTTCATCCGTCTGTGCTTCACCGACAGGTGCAGAACGAGGGTCAGACGCAATGGCTGGCACAGAAAGACTTCTGGGTAAAATGCGACTCTGTCTTGATGCAGGAATGGGACGCGGACCTGCTGCTTCTGTCACATCTGACGGAGCAATCTGACCGCCATCTCCACCTCTTTCACCACAAGGTCTCTCTATGTTAGTATCTGCAGTCAATTCTTTTACTGGGTCAGGTTCTGCAACGTCAACACGCCCTCTGAGATCCGGGCTCTTCTGTGGGAGAGCTTTTTTTTCTTCAGCCTCCTGCGATGCCAAGGTGCTGCACTCTGATTGGGTAGCTCCCAAAAAAGGCTTATTTTGGTCTTCAGATTCAGATTTAGCAACCTCGCTTTGAGTGTCGTCCTCCTGCACATCTTCAAAAGGATTTGGAGCAGGAACTTTGGGTCTTTTGGACGACCCATCTAAGTTAGAAGCAGATTTGGATCGAAAAGTGGGAAGTGGAGGT